GGGGTGGAAGGGGAGGGGTTTTTTTTCGAAGTTTTGGGCTTTGGTCACCGACCGGGAGGAGTTGTTCCTTTTGGGGTATTGTCCCTTCCCCGGGGGATGGAGCGCCCCAAAAATTGATTTCTTCTGGGCAGTCCCGGTGGGGGCGGGGGTTCTTATTTTTATTTTGGCCGTGTGGGGGCTGGGACTGGTGTTCTTACATTTTTGTGGTTGCGGTGGTGGGGGGGGGGAACAAATTATTACCCTCCCCTTTTTCGCATGTTCAGGTCCCTTCCCCCCCTCCCAGGGTGTTTTAACAATTAAGGCAGGCAAAACAGGGGTCCCCCCCCCCCCCCGGTGGTCCAACAACACATACGGCATGCAATACATGAGAACCCCCCCCCTCCCTGCCCCGGTGATGTTGCCGTCGCAAAACAGCTTCGTCGTCATGGAATACCTCAACCGGGGGACGCTAAGAGCAAGGATGGACGCGGCCAGGGGCGGGCTGGGGTTCTGGCCTGGCGTCCGACATGCCGTGGAGCTGGCCTCGGTCATGGCGTACCTTCACGACGACGCCATGCCGGGAATGTGCATCCTGCACCGAGACCTCAAGCCGGACAACCTGGGCTTCCGGGGCAACGTCATGAAGCTGGTGGGTTGATTGATTTGCGTCGATCCCTTCTTGTAGACACTTTGTTTCTTTTGTCGGTCCTCTTGATTATTTTGGTCGGTCCTCTTGACACCTCACACCCGTTGAATTTGAAATCTGTCCCGCAATCTGACTACACGAATACCTCTATGTAGCTGTTTCGTTTTACGCCGATGCTCTCTCGTGCCTCCGATTTTCTTTCGAGGTGTACGTTTAAAAACCGATTCTTGTCGTTCTTTCGGCTCCCCGACGGGAAATAATGTAGCGGGCACGACCCGAGAGTGTCGCGCCATGCGGAAAGCTGCGTCAAGAGCTACCCGCGCTGGACCCCCGGCATATTGTTCTGGAAATGAAGCTTTTTTTGGTTCTCTCTGGTTCTCTCCTCGGGTTTGCGTGACATCATAATCAGCTGTGGTCATCATGACGAAGAAATCACAACATGTTATGCGTGGCAGCATGTTTCTTACCTCTCTTACAACAGGCAGGAGTCTCTACCTCCCACAACTTTCAGTCTTTCTTTCGATACTGAGGCTCCCGGTCGGGAATAATGTACGCACAGCGAGCCCCGCCCGTGGCGCGCACTGCGGTGTGCACTGCTGTGCCACGACAGCTACCCGCACGGACACGGACATGGACACGTACACTTTCGTCCCCAAGTACATGGATGGTACGAAGTATGTTCTTTCTTTCTGTCGGTCCGATAGTGCTTTTTGGTAACGAACTTCAACTCACGTGTGTGTGTGTGTGTGTGTGTGTGAATCTGTTCCTAGGAAATATGTATCTATTAATAACTATACCCCCCTTTGCACAGGATGAGCACATATTCCTACTGTAGTCTCAAGTCTATCTTTTGTACATCACTTACGAGATGGCACACGAGCTCTTATAGCCACGGGGACTGCTGCTGTAACGCTGCTGCTGCTGTAGAGCCAAGCCGGGAAACATCTCCTCCTAAAAATGGGAAGAGAAACAAACGAACGCAGCTTGCTGGATTCCGAGGCCGTCCGTCTGATGTTGCTGCTGCTGCTGCTGCTGCTGCTGCATTGTTGCTGCCCTACACGGCCATAGCATCAGCCAGACTTGCGCGCAGAACAGACACTCAAGCACACACACATGCAGATTCGCCATCTCGTGTGGATGCGTGCCGCGGGATCAGCGCTGTGTAACAACTCCCCGCACCATCACCAAGCGGTGACTTCTTCTTTCAATAGCCGACTGCGAAGCTCTGCGAACCTGCATCTATCTATAATATGTTTAGTTTTACCGTAGACGTGTATGCATATAGCAGCAGTACAGCAGTATCTATCCGATCCTCGATCTACTTCCACCACTTGCCCTTGTCCTCAACAAGTACACAGAAGTAAGCATACCTTCAAGCACTTCCTTCCATTTTTTCACCTACAGGTATTGCGCGAGACCGCCCCCCAAAGGGAGGGCGGGCGAAGCACCCTTGTGTATGTATGTACGAAATATGTTTTTTTTCGGTCCTCTTGACACCTCGCACCCGTTGGGTTGACATCGGACCCTTTTCTAGGCCCTTCTTTTTTTTTTCGGTCGTCTTGAAACCTCACAATCGTGGGTTGAATCTGTCCCTGCTTGACACTCGTTTTATTTTGTATTTTGTTCTCACGCCCGAAGACTGATCGGGGGTGGATACGGTCGTCTTCGTCGGCGTGAGATTTTTTTTTTCTTCCTGGTTCTGCGGTCTGGTTCCGTGCTCGGCTATGTTCTGGTTGGGTTGTCGTTGTCCCGTCATTTCTTTGTGGTATTAGGAAAAATAAGATACACACACAGAAAGACTACCCGTTCGAGATGTACCCACAGTCGAACGGGATGTGGTGGAGTCTTTTCAGTGAGTGGAGGGAAAGCGGCTGGGTACATACTGGACTTCTTTTTTCGAGTATTTTTATGTCCTAGACACACGAAAGGTTCTGTGGCTCCCGAGGGGCAAGCCATCATGGAGGTCGTCTGTTGGTCGTACTGCTCCACTCTGTGTGCGTGTGCGTTTGTCCGTTGTCATGGCCGTTGTCATGACCGTTGTCATGACCGTTGTCATGACCGCTGTCATGACCGATGCCGCCGTCTTTCTTTGTGTTTTTTTTCGCTTTCTTTTTGGTTTTGGTGTGCCCACGCAAGAAGAACCGAGCGAACGGCGTCGTGTGCGAGGTGTGTGTGTGTGTGTGTGGGTGTGTGTGTGTTTTTTTTTTCTTCTTGTTTGCCGTTGTGTGCTGTGCTTGCTGAGTGAGTGTTACCACCCCATTTTCGGACCAAGCTCTTACCGTCCGTAGGTTAAGTATTTCGAAACCGAACCAGCGCTGGAGGTCGAAGGTATTGGGAGGGAGGGGGGGGGGGGGGGACCTCCATCCTGATGCGCTTCCAGCCCAAGGGAGCCTTCACCACGTAAATTGTTGTCGGCCTTTACAACTCAAGCAACCTAGTGTCAGAAAGCACCGCAGTCCATCGGCCTCCACACTCTTGGACTTTTAACTTGTAGCTGTTACTGCTGCTGAAGCTGCTGCTGCTGCTGACTCTGCCGCAATCCGAACGACTGCTTCATGGTGCTGTCTGCGCTTTGCTGTGCACTTATCGTTTCTGCCGCTGCCGTTCCTCGCTGTGCTCCCGTCCGCATGCTCCCCTGCGAACGCGCGTCGCCCCCATGGTGCCTCGCTCTCCTCGTTCCGCCACGTGACTTTTGGCATGGCGTCATGGGGTTTGGAACAGTTCGGTGAGGCGCTCACCGCTCTTTCGTTGCTGCAAGAGGGTGTTCGAACTAGTGGTGTCTTGCGTGTGCGGCTACCGCGTATTCTTGTGGGAGGGAGGGGAGAGAGCGCAAGTATCTGGTGACCCGGGTGTGGTGGTAGTGGTGGGCCCGTCCGGGGGGTGGCCACAAGGCCCCACGCTATACCCTCGTGTAGCCCCGGGGTTGGCCTGCCCTTAGTAGTAGAGGTATCGCTGTGTGTGTGCAGCACCAGGGGAGAAAGCTTGTGATGGCACAGCAGGTAAGGGGGGGCTTGTCCCCGGGAGAAAGAAGTACGCGGGAAAACCATCGACTAAACCATCCAACCTTACCCTTTTGACGAAGCAGGACAGCTAGATGTGTGTGTAAAACGCGCGAGACTAAAAATCGATTTTCTCGCTTTGTTTCCTCCCCGCCCCGCCTGCCCTCTCTTATTTGCTGGCGGCGTGCGCGAACGGTCTTGGGGTGTCAATTCCGTTTCCTTTGGGGACCTAAAAAATATAAAATCACGAAAAAAACGTGGTCGAAAACCGGAAGACCTGGGCTTGGCCAAGGTTATCAAGCATTCCGAAGCCGGGGTCGACGAGTTTTACAGGATGAGCGGCGAGGTTGGGTCCCTGCGGTACATGGCACCAGAAGTTGCTTCTCAGTATCCGTGAGTACGCCCGTACAACTAAATTCGGTATAAACATGGCTCGAAGGTGCAACGCGCTCTATAGGTATGGCAGTTTTGTCAAGAGAGAGAAGAGGGATCAATGCCTTCGTGTGTGCGTGTGTTATTTGATTGTTGCTATTTCATTATTTGTTTTGGGTCTCGGTATGTATCACTGCGCCCGCCAAGTGTGCGAGGTGTGACGTCACGCGTCACCTCCGCTCGGGCGGTCTCGTTTTTTGGTTTGGAGATGTCGTGCCAATTCTCGGATGGTTCCCCCCCCCCCCGGGCACCCTGTCGCCCACTACCATACATGCGCTGAATTTCTTCCTGCCGTGCCCCCCTGGCTGCTATTGTTGCCGTGCTGGGGGGTTGTGCTTGGCCCCCATGTGTGTCGTTGTCACCGGGGCGTGCGGTATTCCATTCCGCCCTTCTCCTCTCCCGCCCAGGTACAACGAGAAGGGTGATGTCCACAGCTTCGGGGTGGTGATGTGGGAGCTGGTGACGGGGTGGCTCCCCTACGGGGGCCTGTCGCCCGAAATGTTCATGTTCCAAGCTGTGCAGGTGTGGGTCCTTTAAAGGAGGAGGAAAACCCCCCCCCCCCCCGTCCTGCGGCGGGCCGCCCTGTCTGGCTCTAACTTGGCGTAATTCATCCCTTGTATGGGGATGCGCAAGTTCGTAGGCAGTGTATTAAATGACTTCAATTACCCCTCCCCCACACCACACCATAAAATGGTCAAGCATCCTCGAGGCAGTTACACAGTGCTTATAACTGTCTCTGGAAGTGAAAGCACCAGAAAATAAATCAAGTCATACGCAGCTGTCATCCGTACGCAAGGAAGTAAGCACAAGATGCCGAACACCCTTAGCAGGATACAGCGCACCCTTCATGCGACTCACCGAATACCTCACGGCGCTTCGCGCTTGGTGATGTGAGAGCCTGGTCCGGTGATAACCGACGTGCTTCGTCCCGGCTTTGTAGGGATGCGAGGTCAATGATCTAACGACTACGGCATGCACGACTATGAGTACACCCCAACCCCCCCCCACCCCACACCATACCTCATTAGACTGATAATCAATGGTCGATAGGGCAGTGTGTAGGCCCTCCCAAGCACAGGGAGCGAGAAGGGGAGAGACAACAGGCAGCGTCGTCCGAAATACCTACGTTATGGCGATCCCGTGAAAAAAGGGTGTTCGACTTTCGAGTGTCGGATTGCATATCTCGAGGTACCGAAAGGGGGCGGGAGGGAGGTGCGACGATATTTCCGACATAGAAATTGCGCAAGGCTCCCTGCCGGAGGAAGTGGTAATGCTCAAGTACATCCCAACCGCAAGCAATCTACAGGACCCAAACGAGAGCACCCTTTCCTTCCTCCCTCGCTATTTATTTCGCCATCCCGGCGCGATCAATGTATAAGTCGCGCCAGCTTCGAGGCATGTCCAACAAAAGTGGTTCTGCAGGATGTCGAGTCATTGTCCAGTCAGTCCTGCCGGGCGCCGGCGTTGCACCCACCCCCCACCTACACCCTCACGTATCCCCCTTTATCCTCGCACACTTTCCTCTCCCCCGACCTTCCCTCCTGGCTTGTCCATATCCTCGCCTTCGGACGGACACGTGGTGGCTGCTGCCCGCAGCACGGACAGCGACCCCTGATGCAGTTCGGGTGGGACCCGGACTTCAAGCGCCTCCTGGCTTCCTGCTGGGCCGGAGACCCACGGGACCGCCCTGGATTTGCGTACATACATGTGAGGGAGAGAACTTGTAGTTAGCGCTGGACGGCTAGGATGGTGGGTGGCGTTACTTTGAGACCTCTGCTGCTGTGTTTTCGGCGATCTGATCTTGTATTGCACGTGAACGTAGGTTTTTCTCCACACAGGGGGGGGGACAGGCGCACAAAACAAAAGAGGCTCTTTTGGCCTGGGTGGGATTGCGGTGACACACGCGTGTTGACAGCGTTTGTGGAACTCACGGGTACGTAGGCCGTCGCCCCGCGCGATATGACGCTTACATGGCCCTGATCATGATTCCGGGTCCCACCCACCCCACCGATAGCAGTATGTTTCAAACAGGCCTCTTTGCTTTGTTAACACGAACGCCGGACCGTATAGGAAACCCTGGAGGCCCTGCTAGTGGAGAAGGGCGGCGCGGCGGCGACGGCGGCGGCGACGGACACCGACGGCGGCGCCTCCATGGCGTCGTGCTGCGGCCCCCCCTCCGCTTCCTCGTCTTCGCGGTTTTCTGGGGGCGGCGGCGGCGGGTTGTTGTCGCGTATGTTTTCTGGGCGGAAGAAGGGCAAGACGGGGGCCCCCTCTGGAGGCGGAGGCGGAGGCGGCGGCGGCGGGCGAGGGTAGGGAGGAGGGCGAGCCGTTTAAGACACCAAGAAGAGGCAGGAGATGTTTGTCGAGGGAATAGATGGCGACCTGACTTACACAAGACTATTTTTACTTTGTGAGAGTTGGTGGAGAGAGGTCCTGGTGGCCAGGAGGTGGTCGTTTGCTGAAGCAGTGCTAAGTGTCGCGAAAGAGCGTGTTTCGAAGATCGGGCCTTTCTCTGTCACGCTCGCGACTGAATTGGCTGCGGCAAGGGGGGCTGCCCTTGTCCCGCGAATCCACAAGTTTCGCCGACATGATGAGTGGATGAGAGTTTCGCCATCGTCCTGGACGATACATAGAAAGATAATGAGGTTCGCGGGGGAGCGGGGGGGGGGAGGGGGGGGGCTCATGTAAACACATGCCGTAGTCGGTAGACCGTTGACCTCGCATCCCTGCAAGGCCGGGACGATGCCGGGTTTTCGGTGGCCCAGCCTACGTTTCACAAGGATGAAACCAGACACTGGTCATTATCCTTGCGTTTGCTGCGCCAAACCAGATGTGCCATGGGTTGGTTTGGGGGGATAGAGGCGGGCTGTCTGGATGATGGTATGCTTTCTTGCTGCCGAGTACAACACTAAAATTGAGGTACATGTTTTATCTTGGGGGAGCTATGTACAGGTTGTCAAGGAGGTGCAGAGGCGAGTGGGGGAGGAAGGGGGACGGGGGGGGTTCATGTACTCAAGAGGCAAGCGTGAGGACGTATGTACCAGGTTCCTGGTGTGCTTCAAAGTAGCAAAACGATAATACAATGCCTACTTTTTTTATGTCTTCCGCGCGGCGATAGCAGCGCGCAAATATGTGAAGGCAGTGCCGCCTAGTTTTCGGAAACTGGTGATTTTTTCTTCTTTCTTGTGCGCTCTTTGTCCTACCCTCCCACACCCATTTTGTGGTGTGCTGCTCGCTTTTTTTGGTGTTCTTGCGTGAATTCTTTGTAACTGCTGTGTGGCCATTGAGTAAGAAAATCTGTCATAGACAGGAGTTTTGTTTTTTCGAGCATGTAGGGACTTTTGTTCCTGTTCGTCTGGAATTCTGAGCAATATTGGCTGTTCCCATGGAACACGGCGGCATTTGCTTCTGTTTGTTTTGTTGTTTTTTTCGTGGCGTACGCGTCGTTTCTCCCCCGCGCCGGCGTGTTCCTTCGGGTCTGTGCTGGCTATATGTTATCCATGTAGTTTGTTTGTCTATGGACCTCATCGTCATCGTCTTATCTCGTGACTTGGTTTTGCACGTGCTGTGGTACCCACTTGTGATCATGTGCGTATGGTATACGTGATGGCAGCAGCTTCACAAAGGCAGCATTATTGCTGTTCCTTGATAGAGGCAAGGTTTGGTGGTGTTGGTAGCGACGGCGGCAATTTGTTTTGCAAGGTATGCTTGGGGCATTCCGACAGAGCATCGATTTGTCTGCCATTGTTTCGGTTCACCGTGTGATGACGTCACACATTCTGCCTCTGCCTGCGTCGCGCGTGCGTACGCAGATTATGTGAAGAAGCCCAGGGTGAAGAAGCCCAGGGTGCCCAGTAGAGATGGATGCATGACGCCTGCCGTTGTTTTTCGCGCTCTTTTCCGAAGGCAAGGGTCGTGTTGATATCCGTCCGCGCGAGATAGACCAGGGGCAACGATGTGGTGGGTAGGGTTGGGTGTGAAACAAAGGGTGTGGGTGTGGGAGACAATGGCACGGCGGTACTGTAGGTAATATGCTGTACCTCCCGTACCGGATTATCGTTGGCAATTACACAGCCCTTTTGGCTCTCTGGCCGCGTGTCAGCGGTGCTTTTTTTTTTTTTTTTGTCCAGGTGGTGACGGATTCGTCCTCCTCTCTGCCGCTTGCCCAACAAGCGAGGAGAGAGCAGTGGGTAGGTCGGGCAAGACCTGGTTGGTTCATTGGTTCGAGTGACGGTGGTGAGGTTGCACGTGTAGTCCGCGCCGGTTGGGTTTGTGGAGACTGTGTGTATTTTGCGTGAAAAGGACACGGCGTGTGGGTTTTAGGACCGGCCGTGGAGGGCGGGGGGGGGGCTCAGCTCCGCACAGCCATGAATGGCTGGCGGTGCGAAGATAGATATGGCAGTCAGTACGCTGATCGTACGAAGAAGAGGTTTATCGTCCGTTTGTGCTGCGACAACGTAGACTGTGTAGTGGCTCTGATGGGCGCAGACGGTAGGAAAGCCGCGCGGTTGTACTGGATGGAGTGAGCGGTGTGTGGTGATTGTAGTAGAAGAAGTCGGTCGGGTATCTGCGAACTGGATGCCATACGTTTTAGTTTAGCCAATTAATGGGTCAACAGCGGGAGCAACCGTTACAGCTGCAGGCGCCGCCCCGTGCGACGAGCAGCATCAACGTGCCATTTTCAGTTTCGGTATCTTGAAAGTGCATGCCGCTGCGTACGGTACACATCGAGGTGTATAATTTTTCATCGGGTGGTTTATTTAAGGGAGTGGGAGTGAAGTATCTAAACTAGCTTGACCAAGCTTATTAAGTGTTGGTAGAAAGAGAGGAGCACAGGAAAGGGCGAGAGTATTGGGTAGTCACTGCTGCAAATCCTCCAGTCGACTTGCAGATATCCCTGTGTGGTTGCTACCACTGTTACGATTAGATGAAGGAGGAGAGATGATAAGAATACTAGCGGTTCGGTGCGATGCTGGACGGACGACGGGTAAAATGAAGGGGCCGGGGGACGGGGGGGCGTACTCTTATGTTTTGCATGCCTTAGCGGTTAGACCATTGACCACGCGTCCTCGAGAGGACGGAGCGTTGTTCCCACAGGACCGATCACCGATGGCCAATCGTTCCTTCCTGCTTTGCCAAAGGTGGCTCAAAAATGTCTTCCCTCGTCTGTCTATCCTAACGATATCCCTTCCCGCCTTTTCAAACCACTTCCTACTCCCCAGTACAGCTACCGTCCTCTCCTCTCTATTCAATGCCTCAAACATCTCCCTGTACGTCCTTCGGGGGATGGATGGGGGGGGGGGGGGTTCCCCGTTTGTCCCCGTCGTGTCGAAACCACGTGTTGCCTCCTAGACTACAGGCTGGGCTCGTGCGTGAACGCATGACGAATGATGACTTGACAATCACTTTCAGAACCAAATGTTCTCATAATGGTTGAGGCAATCCGATTATTGTCACCCATTTGTGGTTGCCTATCTCTGCAACCAGTGCTGCTGCTGCTGCGTGCTCGCAATACACAGATCGGTTGGATGGACTACAAGTAAAAAGTAGAAGTAGCT